GCAATTAAGTGTGAAGACCTTTCTGAAGCTCCCACAGAGGCAGCACAGCGTGCGAGTTACAGGCACCCACTCTGGAGCCAGAGTTCAAATCCTGACTGTCATTTGTTGTAAGATGCATGGCAGTGGGCAAGTCACTTAGTCTGTTTCTTGAGGCATAAAATGGGATAATAAGAGTGCCCAGTTGATGTGACGATGAAATGACTTAATAAATCTAATGTTCTTAGACTGGTGTCTAGTAAGTAGGGCTATGTGAGAATTTTTTATTTTTTTATTTTAATTTTTATTTTTTGAGAGAGAGAGAGAGCACACAAGAGTGGGGAGAGGGGTAGAGGGAGAGAGAGAATCCAAAGCAGCCTCCACACTCAGGGTGGAGCCTGATGTGGGGCTCGATCTCACGACCCTGAGATCATGACCTGAGCTGAAAGCAAGAGTCAGACGCTTAGCGACTGAGCCACCCAGGCGCCCCTGGAAGCATATTTTAAACAAAATTTATGAAATCTCAGGCATGGCACACAGTAGCACTTGAGAAGTGTTAGCTGAAGACATGTAATACACAATAAAAGGCAATAAATATGTAAACAGATTTCAATACATGTGGTTTAGACAAGAGGGGTACTAGGTGTTAAAAGGTAGTTTCAAACAAATAAAATCATGACTCTCATACAAATATAAAATAACCCATATCAAAAATTTTTATTTAAGTCATTAAGCCTAGGTGGCTCAGGTCGTGATCCCAGACTCCTGGGATCAAGCCCCGCATCGGGCTCCCTGCTCAGCGGGGAGTCTGCTTCTCCCTCTCCTCTGCCCCTCTTCCCTGCTCATGCTCTCTTTCTCTCTCTCTCAAATAAATAAGTAAAATCTTTAAAAAAAAATAAGAGAACTAGTAAGATATTGTAATTAGTTCAAAGAAGAATCTAAAGAACAGACAAGTGAATGGGTGATCAGTGTTAAGATGAATTTGCTGACAAATACAAAGCTGGCCTCTTCCACAGGGGAGAAATTAGTCTCATCTCCACCAGAAAAAATTCCTGTGCATCTCTGTGGACGAAATCATTTGCTGCTATCAATCTTCTACTGAATTAGAAAATAAAGAAAAGGAAAGAAAATAACTTTATGGTATCAGATCACCAGAAGGAGCCCCTAGACACCATCCTTGGAAAGAATCTTTTTGTTTGTTTCCAAGAGTTTCCTAGTTTCCCTTGATTTAGGGAAGTATGCAACTAATTATTCTGAAAATGACTGAAGGGCGCCTGGGTGGCTCAGTTGGTTAGGTGTCCAACTCTTGATTTCAGCTCAGGTCATGATCTCGAGGGCATGAGAATGAGTCCAGGGTTAGGCTCTATGCTGGGTGTGGAGCCTGCTTAAGATTCTCTTTCTCCCTTTACCCCTTCCCCCCAACCCCGTTCTCTCTCTCTCTAAAAAAATAAAATATAAAAATTAAAAATAGAAAAATTTTAAAAATCATTAAAGTTGTGACATTGAAGGAATCTGTGATGGAATTTAAGCCTCAACACTTAGCAGTTCTGTGGAACATTCACTTCTCTTTGAGCATCGGTGAGCTTTTCTGTAAAATGAGGATAACAGTATCTAGCTCATAGGATCTCTTATAAAGATGAAACAATACACGTTCAAAGCTCCTGACAGTGCATGACTCATAGTAGACACTCAATAAGCAGTAACTATTCCTGGGCCAATTATGATTAGCTGAACCAACCAAAGAATAATTGCTCAGTTTTGCTTCTACCACACCCAGTCAACCTGGGTAGAAGTTACATACAGCATTCCAGAGAGCCTTGGGGAAGGAAAGTGTGTGGCTCCCACAAGGGACACTGAAAACATCAGCTTGATGAGAGAAGGGAGGTGGTAGAGAATGCTGAGAAATAATGCAGTGTCGGTAACATCCAGCCTCTGAAAGGGCTTTGGAATCCAGACAGAAGTTTTGGCTCTGTCAGTAAGCAGCCAATTCAGCATCATCTGGAATGCAGTTCCCTGGGCCTCACCCCAGACCTGACGACTTAATAGGGGGCTATTGAGATTGTTTATTTTATCAGGTTACCCAGATGTTGCTTGAGCACATTGAACTTTTTAAGAGTCACTGGTGCAGATAGAGGATATAAGCCTTTTTTTCTGGAGTCATATTCTTGAAACTTAGGAGTAAAGTGAAATGAGGGGCCTTCCAGCCAGTGTACAGGATAACTTTCTGGATGAAAAAATGAGGTGAGCCTGAAGGCAGGAGGGAACCGAAAGGAGTAGGTGTAACCCATCGCTCAGGTGATGAGGGACTTCACTGAGGTGGGAATTAAGGTGACTCCAAACATTATGAAGAAGCAGAATTTAATGACTAAGTGAGTAGGAGATTCAATATGGAGGACAGGCAGCATTCAGAACTGATCTCCTGATTTTAAGTCCAGGTGAACAGAATAGAGATTAACTGACACAAATGGAGAATTGAGAATGGCCAGTTTTGTGGAAAGCTAAGTTCACTTTGGAGCATGTTAAAGGATGATGATACTTTTAAGTGGAAATTTACAGAAAATAATTGAAGGAAGGGGAGGGGTGGGGAGACTCCAAGCTTGAGTGACAGGTCTTGGCTGGAACAATAGATGAAATTTTTAAGAAACATCATCAGATAAGGCTTCTCTGTTTCCCTTCCTCTTTAAAGTTTATTTAATTTTTGTTAAGATTTTATTTATTTAAGAGAAAGAGAGCACAAGCAGGGGGAGGGGCAGAGGGAGAAGGAGGCTCCCTGCGGAGCAGGGGGCTTGATCCCAGGACCCCCGGGATCATGACCTGAGCCGAAGGCAGACGCTTTACCAACTGAGCCACCCAGGTGCCCCTCCTTTCCTCTTTAAATTGTCAAAATATATGTTTTTTTTTCACACACCAAGGATTACATGAGTTAAATGCTAATCACTTGACAAACCTAAAATGACTGTTTAAAATTTAGGCATTATCCTACCTGTAAAAAAAAAAAAAAAGAAGCTGTATTTACAGTCTATTTCAAAGATCATAATGTATGGCATAGTTGATAAAGAGAATATGTTTAGTTATTTTCCTCTTTCTATATAAGATGTAAAGTCCTTAAGGTTTGAGAAGATGGTTAGAAACTCATTTGTATACCCCAATGAGGTTTTTGGTAAATGCTTAGTTGTTGTACTGAATTTTAAAATGATTCTTGGACAATGTACAGCATCCCCCTACCCCTGCAGTTAAGCTTGTTTCTGGTAAATCCCGTGGGTTCAATTCCCAACTGTCACAAGAGGTCACAAGAAGAAATCTGTTACAGAAGTGAATTTAGAACTCATATTTTAATTGATTCCTGCTAGTCTTCAATAATATGAACACCTATGCTTTCAAGTGTAGGATTTTACT